CACCAGGAACCTGAGGCCCATCCATGCACTCGCCTCTTGTGTGCTTATTGCAGCTTACCATTACTGAAACAGGTGTCACAGAAGGAGAGGGCAATGTCAGCTTGCAAAGTCACATTTTTGATGTGATTGAGGATCTTCAGACTCATTCACTGGAACACCACTGTTAGTTAGCTCAAGCATTATCTCGACTGAGGTTAACCAAAAGGGCTAGTACCTGGGACAATAAACGAACCTGGCAAAGTAAGCGTGAGGAACATGGTTGAATGTACCTGATGTTATCTTATTTCTGTTCTTTGTCTCTCTTTCAGGCCCCAACCTGTTTGCTGAAGCTGTGTCTTGCATTCAGTCCCAGTACGAGAAAAAGAACAAATCATTGATCAAGCTGATCTACACACACACCACCTGTGCCACCGACACTAATAACATTCAGTTTGTTTTTGATGCAGCAATTGATGTTATCATTGCGAATAATCTGCGAGGCCTTGGACTTTGCTAGTTAGTAGAGTGTGGCAAACACAGCATTTCTGGGATGTTCTGATGCAGGCTTTACTCCTGTTTAAAAAAAATCCCTCCAACTCCCCACAGAGTATTGTGCAACTGCTGCTAAGCCACAGAATAGATCCAGACAAATTCTATCTTCACTCAACATAGCACCTAGTAATATGACATACCAACACAGGCACTGCCTCCTTTACATACATCATACTCATCCATTCTCATACTCAGGTACTCACTCTCGCACAAGCATTCACTGCCCTGAGCACTCACACTCATCGATGGGCACACACGTATATACACATGACAATGAAGCTCCTGTATTTTTCTATGTTGCTGTGCAAAATTCACCAGCCCCATTCGCTGTTGTGCCTTCTGAATGTTTTATTATCTCCAAAAGAGAATAAGCTTTCTCAGTTTTGTCTTGTTTGGAGAAATATTTCCCCCAATTTTTTTTTAAAAAGTAAAGAAAAGGTATATTGGAGAAATGGTAGAGAATTATTCATCCACAAACTTCGCTTTTGAATCTGCCAAATGAATGTGGGTTTTGGACAATTTTCACATGAAATACCAGCGTTTAAGCAGTTTTGCAGAGTTTAACTATTCAACAGATAAGCTAATTTATTGTGCTTTTGTTTGCTTGTAGAATAATATTGGTATCGGGAATTTATCTCACAGAGAAATGTGTCCTGGCTCTGATTGTTCAGGTACTGTTGGCCATGGGCCAGGATTGGAATGTGAGACTTCATTGACTGAATCAATGGTATCCAGCCAGTGGATATCTTTCAAACCATGCAATGTAGTTGGGAAGAGAACCAGTCTGCAGTGGTGGTGTGTCAGAGCACTGTTTTGGATGTGAATTCATGAACTTTCACATCAGGTTTAGATACACAATGATTCTCTAACAGGAGTATTATCCTGTTGGTGCCCAGAGTGTGTCAAACCTCCAGGAACTCAGTTCTGGAAGTAAATTGCATTGGAACAGAATTCCCAAAGGTTAACTTGATTAACTTTTGGACATTGGAAGTAACAGCCATTAGCAAGTCCTGTTACAAATCGCTCTGTTACAAATTGATCCTCAGACTTGTATTTAATCCACTTATCCTCTGGCACCCCCCTATCTCTCTGACCTGCTTATACCACTACTCGCTACTTGCACTCAGCTAGTTCCTGCCTCCTGCTTGTCCCTCGTCCCTTCCGCTCCACCATCGACTGCTGTGCTTTCAGTCACTAGACCCCAAATTTTGGAACTCCCTCCCTCAGTCCCGCCACCTTGCCACCTCCTTCCCAGTCTTCAAATCACACTTGAAGACTTTCTTCAACCGTGCCTATGGTCACCCCCTACCTCTCCCCTGCTCAGTGTCAAGCTACGCAATTACTACGCACACTGAGGCACTACCCCACATGAAGGGTGTTACATAAATGCAAGCTATTGTTGTTGTATTCGACCTCATGGTGTGTGCGCATTTTCTGTTTGGCAAAGGGCTGTGAGTATTTTGTCAAAGGGCCTGCATAGTCCTGGTCCTCAAGGGCTTCAAAATAGAGCAGTATTGGCAAACAACAAGAAGATGTTGAGGGTTTGCCTAGCAGTCTGTCACATGCCTTTGTAAGGCTCACTGTTCTTGTGCCATGAGTGTTCCTTTCCAAACTATGAACCACAAAGAAGGATAACTTCTTACCATCTCATCTACATAGTGCCATTAAACTAAGTTGGGCAAAGTTCAGCCAGATTGGAGTGCTTTACATCAATGAACTGTGCGGAGTACCTGTATTTGGGCTTTGGATTAAACCTTTGTCTGAGACCAATACAATTGTTCCAGGGTTTATCCTCCCTTTGCTACAGAGGAACCCTCAGGACCCCCATTGCTCTGTCACAGTTCAATGGCAGAGTCCCAGCGACTACTGCATAGGAGAAGGAGCCAGAACTTCATCTCGAGTCACCACATAGTGTGACCAGCACTCAGCTGTTATTTATTTATTGCGTGAGAATGTATTTATAAATCGTTCTGTACCAAAGTGAACGTTGATCTGTTCATGCAGGTAAATACAATAAACGTCTGATAACTCGTCACTTCAGGGGAAAAGGGGCTCAGTGACAAGTTATCCGGAGTGGCGAGTTAAGCATGTGTATAAATGCATAAATAAATGCAGCTGGCATATTAGCATCATGATGACTTAAGTGGTAGTTTTCTGTTGTGAATACCGTCTTTCCTCCTGCACATCCACCTGGCCCATACCCCATGGCTCCATCCTTGGCCCCCTCCTTTTCCTCATGTTCCTTTTCGGCAATGTCATCCACAGACGCGGGGTAAACTTCCACATGTATTCAGATGACACCCAAATCTACTTCTCCTCAACCAGCTGCAACTCCAAGTCCGCTGATTTTCTGTCAGCTTGTCTGTCAGACATCAAGGCCTGGATGAGCACAAACTTCCTGCAGCTGAACGTGGACGAGACAGAAGCCTTATTCCTCGGCTTCTGTTAACGTCTTATCTCCTGTGGCTCTGAGCTCCTCAACCTCCCCAACCTATCCCTAAGACTTGCTGAGCCTGTACATAACCCAGGTATTAGGTTCGATCCACAGCTCCACCACTCTTAAGCACTCCGAGACCCTTCCCCACGTGAAGGGTACTATATAAATGCGAGTTGTTGTTGATGTTAATGTAATTATCAATGAGATGTCAATAAAGTGCCAGCTCTTTCTTATAGGGTGTGTTTGTGTGGTTTCTCCCTGTCCTGGTCATGTTGAGTGCAATCTTTCAATGGCAGATCTTGGCTTCTCAGAGGAGCCTCTTTAAGGAGTCAAATGTGCAGAAAGTATATATTTTGTAAATATATTGCTGTTTTGTAAAAAAAAATATTGGTTACAACTAGTGGCAGAAGATGAGCAATGCTCCAACCTTGCATTTTATCATGGTGAGTAGAGTGTCTACATAGCATTTATATCCTCAGTTATCCAACAAAATGGAACGCCTGACTTGCTTTCACTTCCCGTTGCTTTATAGTCCCAGGTGCTTTCCGAAGGTCTAGGCAGAATATTACCAGGGTTTTGCCTCACTCTTTGTCACATTTGGGCACATTTGGCAAATCTCTCACCTTCCTTTACTTGGTCCTGCTGCCAACCTTTGGTGGGACTACTTGAGATTCTGTTGGCTATGCAGTTTCACAATAGGTGATACTCTCTGAGTAAATTGTGTACCTACTGTAGCAGAGAACCAGGTATTCGAGAACAGAACAAAGAGTGTTGGTATTGGCATCCTAGATGTGTACAGCATAATCTTGTACATTGAATGGCTGGCATGATGTGATTGGTTTTATTTCAACTACACTATCTGCTGCTGTGTATTTACATAGAACTTCAGTTTATTTCCATACAACTGTAACCATTTTCAGTTGGCTTCCATAGAGGTATTCTACAAATACACAAAGTTATTTCTGGGTGGATGGTCCTCTCTCCAGATTGCTGTCGTTAATGAGTAGTATGTAGAGAGGGTTTGTCAGTACCGTAATGAGAGCCAAGAGCTTTTAGATACCATAGATACATTCCAGAGGAAGCTAGATCTTCACATAAGGGAGAGAGGAACAGAAGAGTATGGGAGGGAGTAAGGAGTGGGTGGAGACTCGTATGGAGTATAAACACTAGTATTGACTGATTGGGCCGAGTGGTGTGTTTCCATGCTGTACGTACTTTGTGAGCTTGATGTTTGAGTATTTATATAATTGGTTCATTTGATTGCACAATTCTGAGTTTTTCAGAACCTTTGAGTGTTTGGAGAGTTCATGTGACTCTCTAGCTTCCTTCTCAGCAGAGAAGCCAGTTGAAGAGCTTGTGCGATTACAGATCCCAGGGGCCCTTTGCTAAAGGGTTTCCCGATTCTGGCATGAATGCAGGTCAATGAATGTCAATCAATGGGTTTCAGTGCTTCTGTGTTCAACCAGAAGAAAGTGACGAAATTGGGATGGATGTGATTGAACAGCAAAGGCAGTAGCTCGACCAGGCAATACTGCAAAAAAGCATACAGCCTGGTTGATCTCTGAATTGTAATAAGGAAATCTCAAGTATGTGGGGCACTCGTTTTCCTCTATCCTCCCCAGTTGGCTCATGAAACGTTTACACCGGACAGAGTTATCATTATTATTATTGTATTATTATTATTATTTTTGCAAGAGCACATGTAGTAGAACCCAACTGGCTTCCATGGTATGGAATGTCAATATACAAAACATGGCCCTAAAGAAGAGAGCAAAGGACTATTTGACTTTCAGAATGAATGCCACTTGAATGAATGAATCCTCTAAGAAGCCGGTCGATGTTACGCCATCGGTCTACGTCAAAGTATCTGTGAATTTCTTTCTTGAAGTTTGGAATGAGTTTGATTGCGAGCTTTCTTGTGCCTTATACCTATTGGCTCTGTTTATTAACTGGACTCATTAGTAGTTTCCTCCTTCTGATGCTAACCAGTCCTCCCTCTTTCTCTCTCTTCTCTCCCTGTCTCCTGCTGCAGAACCGCATGCACGAATCTCTTATGCTGTTTGACTCCATCTGTAATAATAAGTTCTTCATCGACACCTCCATTATCCTTTTCCTGAACAAGAAGGACTTGTTTGCGGAGAAGATTAAGAAGTCGCCTCTCACAATCTGTTTCCCTGAGTACACAGGTAGGAATCTTATTGTGTTCAACTCGCCTCTGTCCCTATCTGTGTTTCTCTGAAGGTGACTGCCTCTCTCTTTTAGTGGACTTGTGTGTGTCACTCTCCTGGGCCAGCCTGCCCGCTCAATAGAAATATTTCACTAACAAAATTAACCATTCTCTTGCAAAGACTAAAAGGGACAATGTGATCAGCAATTTCTGAAATATTTGTGTCCGTGGATGTGTGTGTGTGTGCGTGAGAGAGAGTAACAGTATTATGGGGTGGGGTATGCTTGAGCCCTCCAAATTTTGTTATTTTTAAAACACATTTTTCAAATGTGTTCATCATCACTTCCAACACTTATTGTGACAATCACAGATTAAACCCACTCCAAGACTCCAATCAAGTTATGCTGGTCTTGTGTATCTACATGGATAACTGGCCTCCCCTCCTCACATTATTGAAATGTAAAATAATATATTCCAAGAAGCAGCTGAAGCATTTTCCTCATACAGCAGTAACTTAAGAAACCAGCAATACAGCAGCGAAGTTGGTAACAAGGGACATGATCTCGCGATTATTACTACAAGAAATAATGGGGAGGTTAGAAGAAATCTTTTCTTGCAGAGGGAGGGTTGTTAACAGGGAAATGCTTTACCACAAGTGGCTATTGAAACTCATACATTTTAAAAACATTTAAAAGAGAATTATAGAAATAGGAATAGTGAAGAGGAGTTAAAGAGGAATAATGTAAGAGCAAGGAAATTGAAATCAGTGTGTTTAGCTCCACTGGAGAACCTGACACCAGCAGAGATTCTGAAGGCTTTTATTTTACTCTTGTCATTTCTATGAATGTAATTCATGTCTGTCAAACTTTGTTGACTTCTTTGAATATATTGCAGCCCAAGTTAACAGTGGCACTCTCTATCATATAATTCAGACTTTCAGAAGGTTTTTGCCAAAGATGCAAATGAACCAACAGGAATGCTGCTGCTGTGTTTGCTGTGTTTGTATTTGTAAAGCGCCTTTCATGACAGGAGAACGTCCCAAGGCGCTGGACAGACACATTTACGGACCCGAGCTCGGGGTCCGGGAGGGTGGAGGGCAGGGGGGGAAGCAGGGAGATTGAAAGCACGAAGAGGATGGTCTTGAGATGGATCTTGAAGGTGGCAAGGGAGGGGGCGAGATGGAGGAACTGTGGGATGGAGTTCCAGAGGGTGGGGGCAGTGTGGCAGAAGGCCCACCCGCCAATAATAATAATAATATAATAATAATAATCCTTTGCATTTGATATAGTGCTTTTCACGTCCTCTAGACGTCTCAAAGCACTTCACAGAATAGACTGTAAAGTGAATTGACTGTATATTTGTGGGCGAAGTGCGGCAGCCAATTGGGCACAACAGTGTCCCACAAACAGTCGTGGATTGAAAATTATCAATTTACAATTTTCTTTTGAGGGGCTATTATCAGGCTTGTAGAGTAAGGAAACTTGCCCTTGGTTTCACCCTGCCATAATAATACTAATAATCCTTGCATTTGATATAGCGCTTTTCACGTCGGGAGGATGTCCCAAAGCGCTTCACAGAATATACTGTAAAGTGAATTGACTGTATATTTGTGGGCGAACGCGGCAGCCAATTGCGCACAGCAGTGTCCCACAAACAGTCGTAGATTGAAAATGACAAATTTATTATTGTTTTTGGTTTTGGAGGGATTATTATTAGGCTCTGTGTGGAGTAAGGAAACTTGCCCAAGGTTTCGCCCTCTGCCTGGAATTGAACTCAGGTCTCTCGCTTGCAAAGCGAGTGCTCTAACCGCTGAGCTACAGGACTCCATAGTGGGGCAAGTGAGGTGGGGGGCATGAAGCAGGCCGGAGCCCACTGAGCGGAGGGAGTGAGCAAAATGGCAGAGGGTTAGGAGGTCGCAGAGGTAGGGGGGAAGCAAGACATGGAGGGCATTGAAGGTGAGGAACAGGATCTTGAACTATTTCCTCTGTGTGATGGGAAGCCAGTGGAGTCGGGCGAGGATAGGGTTGATAGGGTCAGAGAGCCTAGTGCGAGAGAGAACACCAGCTGCAGAGTTCTGGATGATCTGCAGCCTGTGGAGGGAGGAGTTGGGGAGGCTGACAAGCAGGGCGTTTGCATAGTCAAGCCTGGAGGTGATGAAAACATGAACAAGAAAGGATAGTTGAGGATCAAACAAAACCCCAAGGTTCCAGACTGGCTTAGCAAAGTGGAGTGTGCAACCATGGATAGTGATGCTGTCAGCGCCTGAGGTGAGGAGGCGCTGAAGGGTTGTTGAAACTGCAGGGATTTGCTGCCAATGTGCAGTATTGGGGGTTGAGCCAGTGGGAATGATACTAGAGCACCATTTCTTTCAGCACCAAGTGAAGGTGGTTCAGGAGCACCTGCTGAAGTTGGTCACATTTGCTGACAACACAAATCTCAGAGGTGCAACAGGGAGCACATGCAAATTTAACCTTGCAGTAGGAATACTAGTTGTGAACTCGCCTCTTTTCTCAGACTGAATGCTGCCGAAGCCCTCATCAGAGCTTTTGTCACCTCACAGTCTGATTTCTCAAACATGCTTCTTGCTGGTCCCTCCAGGTCCATTATGCACAAGATCCAGTTATTACAAAACTCTGCTGCCCGTATCCTGACCTGCTCAAACTCCACACCCCTATTTCCCAGGACCTCGCCAGGCTCCACTAGCTCCCTGTCTCCAAACGGATCAATAATAATAATCCTTGCAGTTGATATATCGCCTTAATCACGTCTTTGAGATGTCTGAAAGGGTTTCACAGAATATACTGTAAAGTAAATTGACTGTTTTTATTTTGTGGGCGAAACTCGGCAGCCAAGAAGATCCATCAACTACAAGGTTCTTACTCTAGCATACAAATCCCTTCATGCCTTATATCTCTGACCTACTTGTAGACCACTCCTCTGCCTGCCCCCTTTTCTCAGCTAACACACGCCTGGGTTGCATTCCCCAACCTCTCCGAGCCTTTAGCCAATACGCACCTAATCTTTGGAATTTACTGACGCGATCCTTCCTCCTCACACCCTCTTTAACCATCAAAAAGTCCCACCTGAAAACTTACCTCTTCAATTGTATCAAATGGTAGGAGACCCTTCTCTTTTGCTCAGCATCAACCCCATCACTGTTAAGTGCTCTGAGGCATTATCCTCCGTGAAGGGTGCTATATAAATGCAAGCTGTTCTTGTTGTTTGGTACAGAGAAGAGATAAGCGATAGCGAGAAATTAAATTGGCACAGCTGATAATAGATATGACTTGTCATTTGCGAATATGCCACCAGTATTTTCCATCCAAGGATAGATTTGTAAAACTATCAGTGGTTCACACAATAAAGAAGTTATCGATCTGCGCCGAGCAGCACAGGAAATCTCCAATTATCATCAGAGTAATCGGAGCTGTCCAGTCAGAACTTCACAGCACTGGAGCTGCTGAAAACACTGAATGAGTTTAATGCCAGACCCATCAGGTCATTTCACATAAACAGCAACTCACAGTGGATGTCCAAGCAAGTCAACATACCCAATGCACAGTACTGTACAAATGCTGTTGTCATGAGAAACCATTCAGAGTTCCGTAAACTCTTAGACTTAAGATCATTGTCTTAAAATTTAAGACTGTGCCGAATTTTTCAGTGCTGTCTTGTTTGGAACTCGTTTTCCACAGTTCAGAAAAAAAAACAGCTTCCAGGTTAAATAAATAAAATCGATGGTCTTACAGCGAAAGTCAGTCTGGTGGTATTTCGAGCTTCAGATAAAGAGCAGGACACTCGTCAGAATTAATGAGCTCTCCCTGCTTGTGCATTGCCTGACAGCACTGCCTGAAGTCATACTAGTCTGTGTCTGCAAAATATTCTGATATAAATGATCATGACTGAAAATACATGAATCTTGTGTTTTTTATATTGAGCAAACAAAGTAAATAGGTTGGGTGTAACCTGTAATACATACGGCCTATGACAGAACACAAAGGCGCTGCATGTGATAACTTGTTCTGTGTTTTCTTCTGTTCTCACTATGATTTTTAAGTGGAACATAACTATTTGGAGTGGAGATACCGATAGATGTTAGAAATTAATTTACTTAGTCTTGATGCATTTCCTATTGTTTGAATCTATTGTTCATTTGCTTTGTGTGTGTGTGCGCATCGATGTATGTGCGCACACACTCATTTGTGTGAGTTTTGTGTAAATGTGTGTTGTGCTTCGGTATGCTTGTCATGTCAGTGTATATACTTTGGTATGTGAGTGTTTTGTATCTACTTATGATTCAGTGCTTATCTACATGCTTCTCTTTATGTGTCCTTCTGTGATTGTGTGTGTTTCTCAGTGTGCGAGTCTTGTTGTGTGACACCTCTCAAATAAAATGACAACACTTTCCATCCAGAACATAAAAACATATTAACTTAATTACAGGTCCACAAGCTCCTCTCTCTCCCCGCTAACATTCCTCTCTGGGCTTTTAACCTGCTATGTAACCTGTCATTGTATCTTCTAGATCACATATATTACCTCTGTTTTAACCATAAAACAATCACTTGTTTTACATCTGAACTTATCTCAGACCCCTTAACATCTGATATCTTCTCCACCCCAATTATTTGTTTGTGTGCAAATAAACACTGGAATTACTGGATACTCCAGGTTACTTTTCAAATGGCAGTGAAAGAGTAATTAACTGTAGAAAGGTGACCACAAAGTGTGCAGGCACTGCTCTCTTTGAAGGCATCTGGGAGTTGCCGTTATACTGTGTACAGATAAGGGACAGTGAGGTTGTGGGTTTGGTTGCAGTATTTACAACATACATTTGTTTTAAATATGCAGCCACTTTTGAAGGGTCGAGGGGTTTACTATGATCACGTACTTAGCAATGTCCCCTAGATACCAAATTATACAGAAGGCCCTAATGTCTCATTTGATATATGGCACCTCTGACATTGCAGCCCTCCCTCAGCATTGGACTAGAGCTCAACACAGTTACTCTGCCATTTT